CAAGAAAGCCGGAAAGTTGGGAAGGTCCACTTCTGACCGCCAACCGAAAGGCATTCATAAGCCCTATAATAAGCTGCTGCTAACGCGTCCAAGGTGTCCACGCCGCGTTTGAACGGGCAGAGCAGGTAGAGGGTATTGAGAGCCAACGACGGCCTGTTTTCCGCCAGAAGAGCGTCACATCGATGCTTCCAGTCGATCCTGGTCTGGTGCTCGGCATCCGTCTCCGCGTCACCCGTTTTGATGTCGAGGTTCTCGAGGGCAATCACGAAATCGCGAATAACCCCCACAAGCTCCTTTTGCAGGAGGGGGTTCATGTAAACATCGGTAGCCAGTCGTGTATAGAAGTCAGTCCAATTGTGCCGGATTGAATCCCCTCCTTCCTCTTCCTTCACCATCTCCACCCCCAAGGAGTTCGGCAACATCACCGTCAGGCCGGGAGCTTGGGTAGCCATGATCTTCAAGCCGTCAACTACTAACCTAGCGACATCAGGCTGTGCGAGAGCAGCCCAGGTATAATTCATGTCAGCGGCCACAGTTCCGAGTCGTGCCAGGTCAATCTCGTACCCCGACACTCCCGCCATGAAGGATGCAGCCAAGGTCGCTCCCGTCAAGGTCGCTCCCGTCTTGGTCTTAGAAGTCTCAACTGAGCTGCTCAGCGACCTCATTGGTCAACTTGTCGAGCCAAAAAAATTTGAGGCCCGGGGGAAAAATTGAGATGTCAGGTTTTCGCGGGGCGTAGTAGACGGACGACGAATTTTCTGTTCTCACGCGTAAACCACGCGACACTGCAACCACCGATAAGTCATACTTTGGGGTTACTGAGACGGCAGAAACACGAGCGGCTCGTGCGGTACGGACGGGCGGGCTGAAATGTGGCTAGTATTTGCCCCAGCTACGGTAGGAGGCATAGTAGGGGGACTTCAGCTGGGGGTTCTGGAATGTTCCCATCAGTGAAGCCTGAAAGTGTTTTACGTCCTTGTTGCAACCTTCGGCATCCAGAACTTGCCGGCGAGTCTCAAAGGCAGTGAACCAAACTTGTGATGCACTTCCAGGCCATGGCGACGAAACAAATGGTCCAGGGATGTATATTTTCGCAGGCAGCCGACGGCAGCTTGGTAGCATATGGGAGAGCGCGGTGGACATCAAAACGTCACTTAGATCCCTAGGAACATGTTTGACTGTTCTGGTGGTCACGGTTGAAGGAGTCCGGTACACCTTTCCAGCGCGCAGCTTTCCAATGCGCTCGGACAAAGGAACAGTCAGGAGGTTCGGTCCAAACAAGACCATCGGTTGGAGAACCGGGCAGCGTAAGTAGGGAGAGGTGTTGAATCGCCATAACTGGATAAGTTCCTGCTGTGAGGGATTCCAACCATGCCCTGAATTTGT